AATAAATAAATAAATGACATAAATAAATAAATAAATAAATAAGAAAATACAAGTTAAGTGCCATCTATCCAAAAATCTTGGGAGCAGTGATGTTTCAATTCAGAGGTTTTTAGATTTGGGGATGTTTGTATGGACTTTTGTCAAGTAAGCATCCATAATCCACATACTCTGAGCTGCTCCTGTGGTGGTGCATACCTTTAATCCCAGCGCCTGGGCAGGCAGAGGCTGGTGGATCTCTGTGAGATCAGCCTGGTTTCAGGGAATTCCAGAGCAACTGGAGCTACAGGGAGACTGTCCCAACAATAAACAAACAAAAGTTCTGACATCTGATGTACTCTATACCAGAATTCAGAACTTTGAGTGTCCCTTTAGTGTCCAAAGAACTTTTAATTTAAGATTTTGAGGTTGCAAATGCCCCACTGTAAATGAATGTCAGTGTTAATCTTTAAAGTCTAGGGAATTCTGCTCACTCATCACAGGAGAGGCAGGTTTCAGAGGAGGAGGAAGGGCAGTGTGGGGAACATCTCTAGGCTGCTCTGTCTGTTCTGTTGAGCTACTTCTATGATGTTGCTGTCACTCATTGTGCTTGCAGGCCTCCAGTCTGGCTTGGCTGCTACTGGTGGCAGTGGCAGTAGCAGCAGCGGTGGTGGTGCAGGAGGGGGAGGCAGTGGAGGTGGCAGTGGCACCGGAGCAGGAGGAAACCAAAGCACCACCGGCCCAGGAGGGGTCTCCCAGCACCTGACTTACACATCCTACATCCTCAAGCAAACTCCCCAGGTCTGGGAACTGTGTACCTGATCTTATAAATGCCTTTCAGTATTGCTGATTTACCACTCTAGGATCAGAGGTCAATGCTAACGTCCTAGTCATGTTACAATTTACACAAAGCCTCCCTGCTAAGTTAATGGTAGAGTTTAGGTTTGAACCCACATCTTTCTGCCTCAAAGAGTCCTCTGTGCTAATTGTCCCCAAATCCATGAAGTAAAAATGACTATTAGTGTATAATTGAAAATTTGCCCTTGGAAAGGCATAACCAGAGATGGTGTCAGCTTATGGTGTTTGGAGTTGGGTTGAATTTCGAGAAAAAGGTTCCCACCTTCTCTCCCCTGTCACTGAAGTCTTCATTTTCCTTTGAGGAAGGTAACAATAGTTTGGTTCCAGACATTCTTATTGAGAAAGGTGGGATTAAACCCAGTTGGGAGTTTGTAAAACTGCACTATAACTACTGTGCAAGGTTTGAGAAGCAGGGATAGGCGTCAGTAGAGTTGACATCTTCTTTCCAATTATTTTGACTGAGCTTTGGAATGTAGCTAAGAATATTGCAGCTTGTAATTTGAGACCTTGTGGCTTAAAGAACCAAGGTAGTTCACTTGAATTTAACTGATTTGTAGTGAATTCATCCTCCCTTCTCCCAACTTAGGGCACATTCTTGGTTGGCCAGCCATCACCCCAAACATCTGGAAAACAGCTGACTGCAGCCCCAGTTGTCCAAGGCACACTGGGAGTCAGCACAACTTCTGCACAGGGACAGCAGACATTAAAAGTCATCTCTGGACAGAAAACCACCTTGTTTACACAGGTAAATATATGCCCACCCACAGATACATACATTCCTAATACTTGGTGATTGTGGCATTCAATTGGATGTTTTTTTCTTTACACAAACTCTGGGTTTAGGTTTAGGCCAGGTGTGGTAGCACAGGCCTTTAATTCTAGCAGAGGCAGGTGGAGCTCTGTGAGTTCCATGCCAGCCAGAGCATGGTGAGACCCTGTCTCAAAATAAAGATTGCATAAGAAAATAAATAGTTCAGAAAAATTTAAGAATAAATCTTAAGGTTTAGGAAAATATAAGTAGAATGAGCAAATAGGCCCAGGGTTATTCAGATCCATAAGTGGGTACAGTCTTCTGCAATTGATAAGTGAGCTATAAATGTGAGACAAAAACAAAGAAAATGGTCAGCTTCAAAGATCACGTTTGTAATTGAGGAAGGGCACAATGTTTGAGAGAAGAGACAGGTTGCATGATACTTAACATTAAAATTTCTCTAGAGGGGCTTCATAGAGAGACCCGTAAGTACTAGAGTGATTTGGGGCATATTTTCTGCAACAGTCTTTAATACAAACCAGAGAAATAATGGCAGAATTTTGACTGGAGGAGGGACATCATATGCAGCTATGAAAGGATCAAATAGCTACGTCTCCAGAACTTATCAAATGAAATCAGTGTGGGAGCCGAGGGATGGATAGAGTGCCGTGCCATTCCTCAAGAACAATACAGAGGTCAGCCCTTTTCAGAACATGCACACTGGGGCTGGGGTTTGTCACATAGACACCTACCTTTTCTATCTTCTGTGCTAATTATACCACCCTTCAGTGTTTTAGTTTGTTAGTTATTTTGATTTTTTTTTTTGCTATTATTTACATTAAACCATTTTTTTCACTTCAGGAATAAACTACACTTGATTTTCATGTTTTATCCTTTAGATAATGTATTCTTGGAGCTTAATAAGATTTTATTTAGAATTTTTACAAGGAATATTGGTTGGTAGTTAATAATCTCTCTCTGGTTTGGTTACGTACATGAACTTAGCCCTACCCAGATGTATTTTCTCATGTCTTAGGACTCCATGTAAGGACTGAGGAGGTGGGTAAGACTGCACAAGCATGAAGACCTGAATTCAAATCACTACCTGTGTAGAAAGCTGAGTAATGGCTCACTAGATAAAGACATAATAATCTAAGTTCAGTCCCCAGAACGCATGTAAAGAAAAGAATCAACTGCACAGAATTGACCTGGCCTCCATATATGCAGTATGCATATATCCACACAAAATTAATAATATTTTTTTTAAAGACTGGGTATGACTGTGTACACCTGTATCCCCAGTGCTGTAGGGGGTGGAGACAGGAAGATCACTCGGGCTTTCTGGCCACTAGCCTAGCTCCAGATTCAGTGAGAGGCCCTGCTGAAGTAATTAAAGCAAAGAATAATAGAGCAGAACACCTGAAGTCATTCTCTGGCCTCCATATGTACATAGGAATGTGCATTCACACACGTGTACATGTATACAATACACACAGAACCAAAAAATAAATAGAAGACTCCATGTATATTTAAGAAAACTTTGGACTTAGTTATTTTGAAAACAGAAGTCCAGATAAGTTTGAAGTTGCTGCTTATAAATAGTAATTTGCAAATGCATTCATTTATTTATTCTATTCTAGTGGTAAGCCATCGTGTTCAGGCTCATTCATACCTCATATAGTCTTTAATTATCAAGATTTCCTCAAATATGCTTTCAAATACAGGTGAGGGATCAATTGTGCAATGTTATTACTTGTAGCATATGTTTTCTGCAGGCAGCCCCTGGTGGGCAGGCATCTCTAATGAAGATATCTGATAGCACCTTGAAGTCTGTGCCAGCCACTTCACAACTCTCAAAGCCTGGAACCACAATGCTTCGAGTAGCGGGAGGGGTTATCACAGCTGCTCCCTCCCCCACTGTGGCCTTTTCAGCAAATGGTACAGCACAACAGGTGAGAGCGTGGCAGGAGAGACACCAAATAAAGCATGAAAGTAGGTAGACAAGATGTCCAGCAGGCCTCAGTGGGCCTCGGGAAAAAATTGGAATGCTGGCCTTTTTTTAAAAAACATTACCATTTCTAGTATGCAGTTCAGTGGATTTATATTCACATGGCTGTGTGAATGAAAACCCAGAACATTTTCATTGTCCCCAAGAGATAAACCACTCCATCAGCAGTTACTCTCCAAACCCCTTTCCCATTAGCCCTAGGGAAACCACTAATCTACATTTTTTATTTTTAGGAGGTGTGTATGTGTGTGTGTGTGTGTGTGTGTGTGTGCGTGCGCAGCTCAGGACAACAAGAGTTGGTTCTCTGCCTCCACTGTGGGATCTAGGGATCAAAGCAGCAAGTGCTTTTACCCATTTGGTTCTGTTTTATGAGGCACAGTCTTACTGTATAGCCCTGAGTGGCCCTTGCCTTTTCCTCATAAGTGCCAAAGTTACAGACATGTACCACCACACCCAGTGGCATGACATTTTCAAGATTTATCCATGTTCTAACATTCATAATTACTCTATTTTTATATCTGAATCATGTTCAGATTTATGATATATATTTTGTGTGTATGTGTGTTTTGCCTAAGTGTACCATATGTATGCAGTGTTGACAGAAGACAGTTGTGAGCCACGATGTGGGTGCTAGGACCCCAAACTGGGTCCTCTGCAAGACTAGCAAGTGCTCATAACTGCTGAGCCATCTTTCCAGCCCCAGTATTTTCTACTTTTTGGCTAGGAATGCTGCTGTCAAAATTTATGCACACATTGTCACTTCTCTGTTCACATAGCTAGGAGCAGAATTGCTGGCTCCTGTGGTGACTCACTTAGTATTTTGAGGAACTGACAAACTACTTCCCACGTAGGTGCACTATTTTACATTCCTGTCAGCCATTTATAAGACGTGTGCTTTTTCCAAAACTGTATTGACACTTGTTTTGTAGTTTTTTGTTTTGTTTTTAATTATCACTATCTTTTGTTTGTTCTTTTGAGAAAGGGTCTTATCCATACTGGCCTAGACTACTCTACCTAGACCAGGCTAGAATACAGAGTTCTACCTACTCCAGCCTCCCTGAATGCTAGGATTAAAGGCATGTGACACCATGCTCAGACTCTTTTTTTTTTTTTTTTCTTTTAAGTGGAGGTGGGTAGGAAGAGGGGGAAAGAAGGAGGGAGGGAGAGACAGAGACACTGAGATAGTCTCTTTCTACTGTATGGACCCTGGGGATCAAAGTTGAATTGTCAGGCTTGGAGGCAAGTACCTTTGCCCTAATTGTCATTGTCTAGATAGGTGCGAAGTATCGTATTGTAGTTATGTGGTTTTGATTTGGAATTCTGTAACAGGTAGTGATGTTGAACATCTATTCATGTACTTACTGGCTATTTGTATAGTTCTGGAAAGATACTGATCAGGTCTTTTGGCTGTTTTTCAGTTGTACTGTCTTTTTATCTAATTATAGTAGCATTTTATGTATTCTGATAAGAGTCTTGCCAGATTTTCAAAATTTTTCACCCATTCTGAATTCTTTCCATGGAATTCTGTAGTGATGTTGAACATCTATTCATGTACTTACTGGCTATTTGTATAGTTCTGGAAAGATACTGATCAGGTCTTTTGGCTGTTTTTCAGTTGTACTGTCTTTTTATCTAATTATAGTAGCAAGTAGCATT